CTTCAATTTTCCAATTAATCTTTTGAACTTATTTTCTGTATGATACTCGTTGTGTTCTAGATATTATAGAATGAGTGTTAATACATTCATTAATATATCTTTGGATCGATTTTAAAAATCGAAATGAATTAAACGAGATACAAATAGAGTGAAATAAATTATCATCTTATTAATAAATAAAATACTCTCAAACACATTTTTGTGTAACAATATTTGTGTTTATTTTAAACTTTGGATTCAAATATTGAAAATTCGTATACTTGGCTACGTCTAAATCACTTTTTGTTACTTGATTTTTATCATAGCTTCTTATCATTCAAAATCATTCAAAATTTCAATTTCTTTCTCGTTCTCGTCGAAATGGCGATACATAATATAATAATAGTAGATATGATTTTCGTATTGCATGTGCTGATACAACATGGCTGCTAATTATTATATGAAGATCGTTGTGCAAATAATCTCCGTTGAGATCCGGAGATTAGAAGAGTGATTCAAATAGATGAGCTTGCGAAATGTGGATCTTTCGAAGTGCTCTTGAACTGTTGAACGACAAGGTCTGAAAGTTTGATCCGAAAGTAATAAAGCCAAAGATTGGAAATTGATAAAATTCATGAACTCTTGCTCGAAACAATTTTTTTTTTTTTGTCAAATTATTACGAAGAAAATGCTTTAAAAAATCGCTACGACTGTTATGTAGGACACTATTACATTGTATATAAAAATATACAGTATATAATATATTCCTAATTCGTGTGTAAAATAAAGCTTTGATCAGAAAATTCATTTAACCCTAGAATTGCTTACATGCATTTAAAAAAATTATCGTGCATATTTGTAATGTTTGTAGTTGAATATGAAGTTGAATACCAATTTTGTGAAAAATATATATGCATCTTATATTCATCATTATAATCTAATGTATGATATGTGACTGATGAGGAAAGAGAGAAATATTTCCTTCCTTGGCTCATTTGTACATATTATTATGATCTTGTAAATGAGATTTTCAATCAATACGCATATGCATATATTTGATCATTGTCGAAATCAATCAACAAGTTGGATCCTCGTTTTTTCCCCAGAAGACTTGTTATTCATAAAAAAAGATTACTTATTTTTCACAGGAAAATAGTTATTGGGCAAAAAATTCGTTATAAATATTAATTGTAATTTCTAATATAGGATTGAATAATAAAATAAAATATGAATTATCCTTTTAATAATATTTAAACGTAATTCAGATGGAAAGGACTTAATGATAAAATTTATTATTAATTTATCAATCCTTCCTAGTAATATTTAAACGCGACTCGAACAGACAGGACTTATACTGAAATTTGTATTGCACATAATCTAATTTTCCACTCTATTGGTAACTTGTTCGTAAGTTTTCAATAGCTCTGATTATTCGGTCAATGAATTCTCTATTATGGTCATAAATATTCAAGATTATTAAGTAAATTAATATTTATAATATCTATCTATTACGTAATTGACGATAATTTTTTCCTTGTAAAATATTTAAAGTTGTATTTGTAGCGAGATTTAAAGTTATTATATGACTTTAGAGATATTCTGCATTTGAAACAATCAGATATCGTGATAAAGTTTCGTCCCTGCATTATTTCTAATATGATTGTTATAATTAGACAATAGATGTTTATTCGAATAGATGTATTTTAATAGAAGATAGATAAGAAAATGGATACATCATAGATTTTTTTTTAAAGATTTTAAAAAAATATATTTTAATCTGCATTATATTAAATATTATTTAACGCATATATTTCCTCCTCCACATTTGATGTATTAAACTATTAATTATTTATCAAATTTGGAATTAGATCATAAAATAATAATTATTACATAACAAATTATTATTATTATTATTATTATTATTATCTTTGTGTATCATACATATTTATTATCATTGTACAAATATGTACACAAATGATTCCCAAAATAAATACGCATTGCAATATATTAATATATTTATGAGAATAAAGGGTCCAAATTTTAATGCAAAGCTTGGTGTATAAAAATTCATTAAAATTTGTTTATTTACTAATTGTAAGTTATAAGCATTATAACTTATGTAAGTATCATCATTTAAATAAAATGAGATAAAGATATTTTCTCCAGCTATTTCTATCTTTCAAAAATGTATCAACCCATATTTTGTAAGTGAAACAATTGCTTTCATTTCTTTATTTCACTTTTAATTCAAACGAAGTATTGATAAATTCCTTTCACCATGTTGCTTGTTCAAAACAATTGAAAAATCATGAAAGATGAAAAAAAGAGACGTAATAAATATATAGATTACTCAAAATATGTTAATAATAATAATAATAACAATAAGAGAATAAAAGAATAAAAGTATATTGTATTTGTATAAAGATTAATTGTCTTTTTAAAACAAACAATTATATTCATGTACAAAATAATAAAATTTATAGTTTTATGAAAATTATATCAAATTAATATTTCAAACACTTTGCATGATGTTTCTTACATTTTTGCATTCTTTGATTTTAAAAAATTTTTTACCATATCGAAACGAAGATTATATGATCAATTCTTAAATAATTATTGATATATAAATATTAACAAATAAATATCCGTGTCAAAATTTATAAATTATGAATTTGAAATATAACGTCCTTTTATCTTCTCAATTTTATTATATCCTCTCTTTCTCTGATTCTCTTCCGTTCTTGAAACGTGTTCTGTATAAATTATAATCCGTTAACTCGCGGACAGAAGCTCGGCCTCGAATGTACGATCAAAAGCCTGAAACCAGTCTCAGTTTAGAAAAATTTTATTAACCAATCTAAATTTAATCCTCGTTCCCGTCAAAGCACATTTCTTTTTTTTTTTTGTTTTTCGCTCGCCCATCTTTATCAATTCCATCTTTTAAAATTCTTTTCTATATTTCATTGAACGCTCTCCCGAAGAGTCTTTCTCTTCCTCTGACTTGAATTCGCAGAAACTTATAATAGCATTTTTATTATCATTTTTTTCTTCTTGACAAACGGAATAACTGTAACAATCATAATAAATTTACTTACTCCCTACTACTTAACTGCAGCTACATATTACGAATTCCTTCTAGATCGAAAAATTGAATCGAAGCTCGAGAAGAGACCATTTCGATGCAAAAGAAATTTAATGCGATTGAATATTTGCAGGACAAGATTAAAATGTAAATATTTGAAATCATTGCGCAAGAAGATTAAATATTTCGAAGAAAATAGAGGCCAAATTTACTTCACTTCTTCAAAAGATCCTCTTTCTTTTTTAACGAATCCAATGCAATTTCTTCAATATCCTCGAAATCGCAACAACTGTAAAAGAGATCGATTCTCGATTCTTCGAAAACAAAATTAACATTCTTTTTTTTTTTAGATCTCCAATTGACGAATTCTTCAACTTATAACACGTCGTGAACACGCAAATACATTTCGAAAATTTTCAAAGTCTCTGTAAAATCGATTCTTCAAAAACAAAATTAAACTTCTTTTTTTCTAAATTGATCTCGAATTGACGAATCCAGTGCAATCTCTTCATCCACAATTCTTCAAAGTTAAGATTCTTTTTTCTTTTTTGATAAATCGGCGGTTTTCCTGGAGCCAGTCGAGCGACGCCGGTATTATTGATCGGCTATTCTCCAATCGACCCCTTCGCAGTCTACCGATTTTCATCCCTGAATTCCGATCACCGATCGCCCCTCTTCGTGCCAGCCGAGCGAGCCTCCTCGCGTCAATCAACGGTATCTCGTGAAACCGCGACTCCTATTGGACGATTATCACGCGTCCTCCTCCTCCTCCTCCTCTTCCAAACTTCGACGAGTTGTTCAAATCGTCCTCCAAGCAAAAGTAAAAATGATAAGTTCACGAATTTCACGAGGAGAGCTCCTCTGAGGAAGAGCTGCGATGCTCGGTCTCGAGAGAGAAATGGTTTACAGATTTTTCTTAGAGGATTGAATATTTCGTTCTACGACACGAGTTTCGGCCGCACGATGAAAGGAATTGATTTTGGGGAGAGGTGACGTAAGGAACCTAGCGATATCGATCGGTGTGTAATTTATTTTGTGCGAACAGGAACGTTTCAACAATCGTTCATTTTCGTTCGAGCAATTATTTAAATGCAGCGAAAAGTTTGTGACGGACAATGGAGAGATTGGCTGCGGGCGATTTATCCTGTTAATATTTATAAAATAGTTGGATAGGATTATATTCTATAGTGATAATTATAATTTTGATGAATGCGATGATGTGAAAATGAAAAAAGAGAATTTTGAAGAATAAGATAATCTCGTAGTAGTAGAGATTTCGATTTTTTCTTCAACTTGTGTTCTCGAGGCTTTATAAATTAAGAGATAAAATATGGGTATTTCGTATCTCGAGAGTCCTCCTTATCTATTTTGTTCGTCATAAAGCTTTCTTGGCTAACCTATTTAAATAACGTCGTTGTGCTTTGTTTTTAAGCGATTCTGATGTTTTCGCTCAGAGAAAAGGTATCGTTAATTAAAAAATCGCATAGCAAAAGCTCCGCGACAAAGCTTTCTTCAAATTAGCGTAGATCCCCAAATCCTTAAAATCCTATGAAATTCCTCTGTCTTGTAAATTTCTTTTTCAGATTTCTTTTTTTTAATACGAAATACCATCTTTAATTAAAATTAATTTTTATAAAAAGTTCGTTTCGAAAAAGTTTGCAATATTTACTACTATACTTCTACTAATTTTTAATTTTTATTACATTACATCACCACTTCGTTACTCATTATATTTATCATAAATGAGGGTTCACGATTTCAAAGTAAATTGAAAAGTATTGTTATAATTGTAAAGAAAAAAGGATTATCCTCCTATTGTTGATTATGAAAGTGTCCAACATCAAAAGATATATTCAAAGATGGAGCAAAGAATTATCGATAAGAATATTCACTTGAAAACGAAGCCTTGAAATATTATTCTTCCTTTTCTTCACTTATTTTAAGAAACAGAATCGTTTGTACTTGCGATTTTTTATATCTAGTATAAAATATAAACAACGTGGTTTCGTGTATACATATATACATATACTATATATGTATATATTATACATATACGTAGTAATGATGGGAAGAGCCGCTTGGTGGCTGAACGCACGTGGTGATGGCGAGAGAAGGAAGGGAGGGGAGGCTTCGTGCCTCGACGAACGAATGTAATGTGCGATGCGTGCCGGAGAGCGTTTGATATGCGACCACGTTTTTGTATTTCCCGTATTATCGAATCCATTGATCCATTGATATTAGCCCTTTGCAATTTCAGGCATCACTTGGATCGACGCGGCAATTCGAACGGCGACAGTATTTATTTATGTTTGATTTTTTTTAAAATATCGCTGAAGGAATGGATTCCTAACCTCTTTACGCATAATCTTATAAAGTGTAGAATAATTTTCGGCGTTAGTAGTTCGAGTTTGAGCATCGAGTCGTGGCAATAGAAGTATTATTTTCAAAGAAGCATGTGCAATGAAATTAATTCAAGTGAAGATGAGTTTTTCGTTATTGAATAACGAAATTATTTCTATTAAGAAATTGGTGATAGAGAGAAGGAAAATAGTGATGTGGTAAGATGAAAAATAAGAATAACAGTGAATGTGAGAGCACGTTATTGGGATCGTAAGGTTTGCTCTCAATAAAATAAGGAAGGCATCAAACGACATTTTATTGCGATACTTGCCCTGACAAACCGAGGATGCATCTTTGGTAATTACTTTAACAACAATATTTAACAAATATTCTTTCTTTATATGTAAAAATACGGTAAAATATTAAAATGTAAAAATCGTAATTCGTTAATTCGTGTGTGAAATCATTTTAAGTTAGCTAAGAATTTTAATATTTTGTACAAAAGAACAAAGAAACACTTACTAACTCTGCTCTCTGTTTCAATCCTACACACACACACATATATATATATATGTAACGTATGAATAAATAATACATTCGAGATCAAAAACTCTGAGTGCAACGTTTAATAATATTTAGAGTCTCGTAGAGCTGTTTGCAAAGCGGTAAACTGAAAAGAGCGTCCACATGCCAGGAATGTAAATGAAAACGAAGGAAAAAGGAAAAGTGAAAGCGATTCTCTCTCTCTCTCTCTCTCTCTCTCGTGAGG